AAAAAAATGTGCAGTTGCTACAAAAAGATTTTTGTTCAGCTGGTAGCAAACAATTTAATGCGATTGTTTTTATATTTATATTATAACTATTTCTTGTATATTTTAGTACAAATATTTATTTTAACATTAATTTATTTTGATTTGAACGGTTATTAGTAAATAAGTCGTTTTATATTTATTTTTACTTAGTTCAGTTTATATGTTTTATTCAAGTCACTCCTTTTTTTGTCAGTTTATACTTTAAATTAATTTATACGCTTTTGTAAATTAATTTTTTAGTATCTAGTGTATATTTAGTTTAAACCAGTACATTTTACTGTAAATATTCATTATTTATTAAATTTTTATTTTTATAAATTTTTTAAATTTATTTTTTAATTGCATCATAAACTTTTTTTGGGATTTAGTAAAAAGTTATACAATTAACATGATTTAGTGATTTTGACATAAAAAATAATACGACATCTTGAAAAATTTCTATGAAAGATTTCTACGATGACATCATATGCCGAAACTGTTATGAATTAAACACACAGAATAAATTATCAAGTCTGCAGATTGCGGCTAACATTATACAGACTCCGCGAACCGAAAAAAAAATTGAGACGGCGAGCTTCGACTAAAAACGCGAATTTTAAATTTAATAGTGTGCATTCATTATAAAGTTTTAATAAAAAAAAAAAACAAGTCCAAATGTTTTAAACATTTTCTTTAACATGAACACAACTTGTCTCGGCAGTTGGGGATCCCTTTATACAAACAAAAATCTAACTACAATTTACAAACAGTACTCAGATTAAATTTATTTTTGCAGGATCTTTGTTTACGCAGGTTATCTTTGTTTACGCAGGTTATCTTTGTTTACGCAGGTTATCTTTGTTTTTTAAACTAGATTGAGTCCAAAGAGAAATATAAAATGATCACTGAACAGAATTTCTGTAATGGAGGATTAGTAGATTTTCTTTATAAGTTTTTTCAAGTCTAATAATTTTTTTGTATCCTATTTTTCGTTTTGCTGCATAATAATATTTTTTAAAAAATATATCTAAACAATGGCAACGATTAGTCACCAAAAATGTATTTAATTTATTTTGTTATACAGTTTGTTTTAACAATATTAATTAGTTAAAACATTTTATAATTTGATTTAAACAAACAAATATTTTTAAAAGTAGGTTAAGAATATCTTTTAAAAGGACTTTCTAGTTAATCTGTTTTTTTAATATATTTTTAAATACCATTAAGAATTCAGTGATTTTTATAATTTAGAAAGGTTATACTTGGACATTTGCAACTATACAGATTATATAGAATGATCCTATTTCCCAATATTTTTGGCATAAATTTTATACCCAACATATAATTTTTTTATTAATCCTACAAAGAATCCTACCCTGTTTATTTTCTTTATTTTTTTAGGGCTATTAAGACTAGATATGTTTCAAAAACTAAAGGGTCCTGTTCTAGTATGCATTCTCAAAAATATCACCTTTACATGCAGATAGCAAAAGCAAGGTAGTAACTCTATTGGTTAGAAGCTAGAATATCAATTAAGCTAATTAATATCTTGAACTTGATATCTCACAGATCTAGATATAAAATTGCTAATTACAAATCAGTATAAATTGAGCTTATCAACCAAATAAAAAAAACTAGCCTATCTTATTCTAGGCTAGTTTTTTCAGGCAAGACTTTGATTGAAGCTTTTTACTTTCATATTTTATTACTCCAAAAATAATATGGCTAATTACAATAACTTAAAAGCAAAAAAAAGTATAGTTCTAAGAGAGAAGAATTATAGTTTTGCTAAAGTATAGCTTTGAGTTTGATATTTCTCAGATTGAATAATAACAAAGAGTCTTTGAAAACCATATAATAAAATAAAAATTCTGAGACGAAAATTTTATCTCAACTAGATTAAACTATTAACCTAAATTCTCACAGAATTATTAAATAAATTGATCTACAGTAGTATTAGCTTAATCTTGTATATCACCTTGACAACCAGATAACATCAGAATAATAATAATAACTTTTATAAATCATTAAATTATATAAATAATAATGTTCAATAATCATTCAAGCCTAAATTAAAGCAATAAGTTTTCTATGAATATACCTTAAATCAAATGATAATTATACTCTCAGGTTGCACAGAACCCAATAGTTCTGACTAACATGAATGATATGATAGTAACATAATGATAATGTAATAATAGTTCTCTTATATAAATTTTAATTAAGAAACAAAAAAGAGTTTTTAATGGTCTAGTAAATTATTTTTGGCTGAACCTATTAAAAATAAATAAACTATTATTGGCTTTATAAATTGTTAATGGCTAAGCGTCAATCAAAAATAAATAAATAATTTATTGTTGGATATTTTGAATAACTCAAAAAAAAAATGATACCCTTAGGCTTTTACTAAAAACCAAAAAATTTTGTTAGGTAGAACTAAAACTTGATTAACAGTACTCTATTCTGAATAATAATACTCTACACTTAGGTTATACATAACCCATTGATTCTTATAGAAATCACATATACAACTAAACCAAATGGGATAAGGATACTCTTAGTTTTTGTCTTCAGACAGAACTCAATGATACTTTTACAAAACATACGCTCAACTAAAACAAAAGCAAAGTATCCCACATGTTTACAAGGATTTAAAAAAACACATATACAACTCAACTAAGCCTGGTGTACCCCACTTATTTACATTGATCAGAACAAATTTAAACCTCGATTGAAAACAGAAAATTCTTAACATCTTTCCATGTTGTTTTTTTCAAAAAATTTTATTTTTAATTTTTTTTTTTTTTATATTTTATATTTTTTTATTAAAATAAAGCAAATAATAATAATAAAAAAAATGAATAGGTGCCTATAATAAAAATTGATTGCCAGTAATAAAAATTGACGTATGCCCTTTTAAGGTATTTAAACACTAAATATTTGTTAGTCAAATTATAACTTCTGCAGCAATTTTTAAGAATACTTTTATTAACTTTCGCCATTGGCCTAAGTGTTTTTGTTCAAGTATTTGCTTGCAAATAGTGATGATTTTTTTTTAGGTTACATTATTTTATAAGGTTTATTCTTATTTTTTTCAAGTCGATTCTTTATTATTTTCAAAGAGATGTTAATTGATTTGGATTATTTTGCAATTGTGTTTGAATGTTAATGAAAAATTGTTATAAAGGTTCATTTGTTTGTTTTTCTGAATTGTTATTTAAAACTTAAAAGGTTTTGTTCTTGTGCTAAACTATTTATAACTGTATTGTACAACAGCAGCAAACCTAGTAAGTACTCAGAAAACTCAGGTGCAACTGCAAAGGAATACGTGCATGTTTCTGAAAATCTTGTAAGTAACTGTGTTAATATTTAGGATTGTTTGGGTGAATCTAGCTTTTAGAGATCTTACCTATTATCTATCACCTCCTAGCCTAAATTAAGATGTATATTGTTTTTTAATGTTATTGAAAATTAGTTTCATTTTCTACTTTAATTATATTTAAAATATATTTATATATTGTTATTTAACAACTCATAAGTTAAGAGTTTTTCAAAGTATTTTGAAAAAGATTTTAATTATCATTTAAAACTGTAATAGAAAAAAAAAGTTTTTAAATCCAGTGCTCGAAGTGGAAAAAAAAAAGTAACAGGATGGTATTCGGTAAATTAAAAAAAAAAAAAAATGGTAACCATCCAGCCTTATCATTGTTATATAGAGAGATTTATAAAAAGGTGGCAGAATGTTTAATACTTTATTAAAAGGTGACAGGATGGTATCCCGCCTCATTTTAAGCACTGGTTAAATCTATATGTATTGATTTATTTTAAATTTAAAAATATTCTATATAATGTCAATGAAAATAGAGAAAAAGAAGGCTATAGGATGGGAGGTAGTAACTGAAGTTTCAATTAAACTTTGAACTTGAAATTCAAATGAACAAACTTGTTTCTCTGCGAAAGGGCCTTGTTTGTAAAGATTTGTGTTTAGGAGTTAAAAAGTTGAGAGAGGATTGTAATCGCAACAAGGTAACCTCCTCGACTGTAGTGGCCTTCTCTGGCCACTACTACTTGTTTAAATTCACCTAGGGAGGGGAATAACATAATAGATTAAAAAATCAATAAAAATATTTGAATAAAAATTGTAATAATGTATTTCCAAATAATGATTCAAATATTAGTAAACCTGCTCTAATAGCTGTTTTTGTTGGTTATAATAGTTAATAATAATTTAGTTAATAATAGTAGTTAATAGTTATGTGAGTTAATAATTTTATAGTTGTAAAAGGTGTTAAAGGTGGTTATAATAGTTCATAAACTTATTAAATATTTTAAAAAAACCCAATAAAACCCACGTTTACCCTGGTTTTATTAGGGTTTTTTGGGCAGGTTTTTTAATGCCAACCCTGGAATAGGATATTGCTGCTGTTGTACCAAATGTATTCATTGAATATTTTTTGAAGCAAATGGAACTTTTTCCATGCACAGATGCAGAAACTATTATGAAAAAGACCAACAGATAAATTTCACTGAGCTGCATACGTAATAACAGTTTCTGTAAATTTTTTAAAATATTGGTATTTTACTTATCTATCTGAATAGTTTAAGTTAAGATGATGGTGCTCATTTTTTTTATTTAGATTACATTTTTTATTTTTATAAGCATTGCAAAGTTTAGAGGTCATATTTAATGGATAATAGATTTTTTTCTTATAAGTAAATTCTTACTAAAAGTTGTCATCGAAATATATGTGAATGAAAGATTTTTGCTTAATTTTGAGATAAAACGGAAACTGGCTATAATTATTTAATATATTGCTTTGACTTAAAATACACTTTGTTCGACTTGAAATACACAAAGATTTAACTGTAATTTTTATATAATCTATTTAATATATTTAACGTGTTTTACATTCTGAAAATCTGAAAGTTTTGAAAATATAAGTTAAATTATTATGATTTTGCTGTTCTATTTACATTTATAGACTTCCAATTCAGCATTTTAAATTCACCTTCTATGATTGCTGCTGCCGCAATATATGCTGCATGTAAAAGTCTGTCTTATGAGCTTGGTCCCTCATTACAAAATCTGAATTAGTTCATTGGTTAAGAAAAATAACTGGAGTAGAGGAGGTATGAATATTTTTATAATGATAAAAAAATGCTTATAAAGATTTCTGTTTTAATAATTGTTAAAAAAGTTATGTTGATTATTGTTCAATAAGTAGTATATACCTTAATTTTTTTTAAAATAAAGTTAACTTTTAAAATGTTCTGTTTTAAGAGTTGAAAATCTTGTAAATAACTCTATTAATATTTAGGATTGTTTGGTAGAATCTCTAAAAAGATTGATTTATGTTTTGCGTACAAGTCTGTTAAAGGTGTTAAATATTCTTAATTTTAAACATGAATCATAAGAAAACAACACGCAAATCTATTTTATTCAGTTGTTATAAATTTAAGTCGTTTCTTCTATTTTTAATTATGAAAAAAAGAGTATTTATAGTGGTTTTAATAAACTTTCTTAACTACCATAGTTTAATAGAGGCTACTAAATAATTTTTATAGTTTATAAAACTATATTTAATAAAAATAATAATAATAGAAGTAATAGTCTTAATAATAATAAAAACCATAATCAATTATTTTTGTTGTCTTACACTATATTATAATAACTATTCAGTATTACTTCACTTTATCTAATAACAAATGACTTTTCTTTAAAGTAAATATTCATTTGGTTTTCTATTCTGTTCTTGTGTAGGTTTGTGAAGAACATGTTCTGTTCTTGTTTAGGTTTGTGAAGAGCAACGATGTGAAGACACTGTATTTCCTCTCTTCCTTTAATTTGTGAGATTTGGTTTATATTCGAACCTAGTAAGTACTTAGAAAACTTAGGTGCAACTGCTAGAGAACACGCGTGTGTTTCTAAAAATCTTGTAAGTATCTGTGGTATTATTTAGGATTGTTTGGTCGAATTTAACTTTTAAAGATCTTACCTATTATCTATCACCTCCTAGCCTAAATTAAGATGTATATTGTGGGATATGTGAGATATAGATTTATTTCCTCATTTATAAAGTTTTTTTATAAAAAATATTTTTGAAGCTATGGCATCTATATATCGTGACGTTAGAATAATAAGGTTCTATCTCCCTTTTGTACTATTAAGAGAGTGTAACAAAATTTGTTACACTCACTTCATCTTTTAAAATTAAAAGTAAAATTTTTTTAAATTTGTTAAATTAAATTATCAAATTAGTTGAATTTTTTGCTAAGAATACACATTATTTATTATTTATTAAGTAATGTATATTGGTATGATCAAAATAGCATATCGATACAGGCGCGGATCTAGGGTATAGCCGTTGTGGCTAAAGCTACACCTTAAAATAATCAACGAAATAAAAAACAGTATAATGCTCGGACATATTTTCAAAATAAAAATAATATAAATAATCAAGATAAGTTTATTTTTATTTGCGGCTTAAAAAGCGATTAAAAAAGACCGGAATTAAAAAAAGATCGGTCATTGCATATCGGTTTGTGGCTGAGCCACAAACGGCCTGATTTTACGGCATAAGCTGACTAAATTATTGTTTTTTTTAACGTAATGTATTTTTATTGAAAAGTCGTATGCCGTCAACACTCGTAGCCCGTGGCTAGATTGCTTTTTGCCTTGTGGCTGTACTTATTTCCCAGTCTTTTTATACCCAGTTATTTTTAAATAACGAAAGCGCCTTTATTACTTTCTCAGTAAGTTGGTAATCATGGCGGATATGTTTTGAAAAAAAACTGTTCCAAATGCTATTGATTAACATTCATAACATTAAATGTTGCAAAAAAAATTGTTTACAAAACGAAATGGTTTGAATATCTCACCAGTTTAATTTCGTAGTTAAACTTTTGGCTTGAAAATGCCCTGATATGAATGTTTTTATGCCATATTTAAAATGGATCAAGGTTTTGACAAAACTTTTGTAGCTTCAAGGTATATTTTTAACTATGTTTTCACGGACTATATTTGTAATAAAAATAACTAGCCTTTTATAGCTGTAACTAGTTTACTTATTTACAACTGTTTCTGTGTTTATTGTTTTAAAATTCTTATAAAATTTAACTAAAACATTATTATTTTATTAAACAGGTTAATAATATTAATAATAGTTTTGCCACAGAGCTATATAAACAATTTTTATTGTTTTTTGCTATAAATGTAAGTAATTAAAATATTAGATTTTTATTTCTTCAAAAAAAATTTTAATTTTCAAATTGAAGCTTTAATTAAAGAGGATCTTATAAGTTGATTTTATTGTTAATTAGAATCAAATATAATATAGTATTGGAGACTATAATATAAGAGTCTCTTGTATTATAGTCTCCAATATTGTATTATATTTATATTTTATAATACAATATTTCTTTCAACTTTTTCTTGAGAACTCTCTTGAAGAGAGTCCTCAAGAAAGAGTTGAAGGAAATATTTTTGAACTACTTAATTTTGGAATTTATGCAGGTGACACTATCTTATAAGATCATTTAATATCTGCCCCTGAAAATATTACATTATTTCTTAAACCGCACAAAATCAACTTATGGAGTGTTGTAGAGAGGCTTTTGAGAAGATTCTTATTTCTGAAATCAATAATAGTAAATACTATTCAGTTTTAGCTGATAAAGTATCTGATTGTGCCAATCTTAAACAGTAGTCTATCGTTATAAGATATATATGCAAAACTATAAAGATTTCTTAAGTTTTGTTGACTGCCTTTAATTATTTAAATGTTCCTTTAGTCTGAAAAAACAGGCATGTTTAAATAATTATCTTTCTGTTGAAAAAGCAAAGCTAATCAATGTTTGTTTTACTTGTTGGGTTTGAAAACAGAAAAGTCTAGGTATTTTTCTTTTAGTCTCCTCATAGTTGATGTTTGAATTTTATTTAAATGTAACTTTAGTTTTAACCAAAATTTGATGGATTGAATTTTTTATTTCGCTACAACTGGTCTAATATTGCTTTTGAATTAGCTCTTACTTAAAATGTAAACGAATAAAAAAACTAGAAAATGTAGAAATCAAATCAATCATGATAATCCATCGTCATCTGATTATTTTAAGCTTTCATCACTTTACTTCTACTGGACCATCTTGTTAATGAACTTATTAATTATATAAGATTTCAAACAGAAAGCAAGTTGGTTTATATGGGATGTTTGCAGTTCCAACTGTCATGTAAAGCTACCTGAAAACTAACTAAGATTTGCAAATCTTTCAGGAATTTCTAGATATCTATCATTCTAACTCTGCATTCAACCTTTATTTATGCAGAGTTGGATTATGGAAGACTCTTTAAAAAGATCAGTCAAAACCCCTATCTAATATTTTATAAACGAAACTCATGACAATGACTTATTTCCCTAACATTCTTGAATATTTTAAAGGTTTAATTCTAGGTACAATACCAAGAGATTAAAAACTTATTCAAGTAGTAGAGTGTTAAAAAAGTCATTGAATGACCTAGCTTTAATGTCAATTTATACCTAAATGGTTCTTGATAAAGACGGGGTTAACAAAAAATTTTCAGCTTATGGAGAGAGATGTTTAAAGTTGCTATTTAAGCCTTAAATAATTGGCTATGATTGAGTAATAATTATATTTATATGTGAATAAAATAATTGAATCTCTCTTATATTTACAATCATTTTTTTTGTTTTTTTTTATTGTTTAATTTACTCTTAGAGCATCTTTTTTTATTTTTTATAAATGCCTAATAAGTAAACTTATTTTCTATTTTGTGTACATTTCATAATCCTTGACATCTAAAATGCAAAATGTTTTAAAAATTGTTGTAAACTAAATAATGTAAACCACTAAATAAAAAATTTAAATGTGTGTTAATTTTGTTTGAGTATGCTACAAAAAGAGTGCTCGATAATCATAAAAAACAAAGATGTTATAAATAGCTTCCTGAGGATTCTATAGATAGTTTGACTGTTCAAATCTTTTTTTTTTTTTTAATATATATTTATATATAGTAATATACAACTTTAAAGTAAATATCTTTTGAATAAATCACGATATCATATTTTTAATGCAGTGATAGTTGCGTTTATTCTATTAGTAACAAAAATATAAAGGAAAGAATCCAGAACTGGAGAGCTAACTTTAGGCAGCATAACAACTTACATATGGAGTGCAAAGTCCTATGGCTTACCTTCTAGTTGGTGCATACGTTAAGTAAATTAAATTACGAACAGAATAGCCAAGGCAAATTTTGTATTTTACCATTAATTATTTTACTAGAATCCATTAAAAATAAATGAAAAAAATATGTGCGCAAAAACTGAATTAAAAACGCTCAGATAAAAAAATGTCTACAAGACGTAATTGTCGGACGTCTTTTTGACATAGACTAAGCGACTTATTAAATAGTTGCAATTATGACGTAATTTTACAAATTTTAGCTACACCTTTATAAAATTCTAGATCCCCCCCTGCGAGAGATGAGAATAATAAGGTTTTATCTCCCAATTTTCATGGCAAAAAAAAAAATCTTTTTTGGTTTTTAATTATAACATTTTTGTGTTCAAAATGGTATAATTTTAATATATTATTTTTTTATTATTATTTATAACTTTAAAAATTGTTAGTTTTTGTTTTTTCATTGTCAATTTCAACCTTATTTTATAAAGTTGAAAATAACAATTTGTGGTCAAGAAGTTTTAAAAATTATGAAATTAATAATGTAAGATTAATTATAAAACCTAAATAACATAAAAAACATTTATTTTATCAATATAAACAACAATAACTGTAAAACATTTTAATAATTAAAAATCGAAAGTTAAATTCTCACAACGTTAAAAAATGGAGATAGAACCCTATTATTCTAACGTCACGATATGGCATCAATTAGCCTTCATATTTAGTAACGTGTCATTTAACTATATAAAATGTATTTATTACATTTTATTTGTACGAAAAAAATATTTTGATTGATGGCAACTATGTTTAAATAAAATAAACTTTTTAATTAAAAGAAATTTACTAAAACTGAACTTACACAAAAAAATGTTTAGTTTAATTCATTTGCAACATTTCTTATATGCTGTGAAATGTTTATGAATACCAATTAGTTATAAAAAATAAATAGACAAAATTTTTGTAATCTAAGCTGAGCTATGTTGAAACCAAGTAAGTACTAAGAGACTCAGGTCAACTTCTAGGGACTACGTGCGTGTTTCTAAAAATCAAAAGGGTTGCAAAAGTTTGTTTATGTTTAATTAAGTTTATATAAGTTTAATTATGCAAATGGTTTTAGTAAAGCCTATTTTTGTTTTTTTTCAAAACAATAATAAGACTTCACACCAACTTTCAAAATTAAAGCTCTCTTTTTTGTTTTGGATTGGTATTGTAACATTTTCATACTTAACCTTAATAAAAAGCCATTCTTCAACACTTAAGTACCGCTAAAACATCTCTCTTGTTAATCTGTTAAAAAACTTTTATTAACATGTTTTAAATTCAAAAATTTAAACCACAAATATACTTGCATACCATGGCGGTTTGGCAATCCCGCTGCATCTTTTTTTAATTTCCAAATTCTGTAAATGATCTCACAAAGATCTGTTTTCTTTTTTTTTACGATTTTCTACCAACTTTACGTCACAAATAAAAAATTTTTGCTGTAGAGTAAAAGCTTCGCTATGTGTTGCTCTTATGTTACTTGCCCATTTTCTATCTTGCTTTCATATTAAGATATAGTTAACTTGTTAACTTTACTTAAAACCACCAGACTGTATGTATATCTGTGTGTATATGTATGTATGTATAAACTATTTATTACTGACTTTCAATCCCATTGCATCTAAAAATTCCAATAAAATTTCTCCTTTAGTATTTTTTATGCCCCTGTCCACCATATACTCTCTCAAAATCATCAGATGCTGCACCAACGTCTTTCTCACCTTGATGCACTTTTAATTAGTTTAATCCGCTGATAATTCTTTAGTTATTTAAACAACTTGAAATAAATCTGTTTTTATTCTCAGGTGTTTTTTAGTAATAAAAGTATTGTATCTATTACTATATTATACTTCCAGCTTTTTTTCTGAAGCCAATATCCTGAAAATTTATTTGCCTCAACAATTTTTTGGCAATACTATATTTTACCACGGTATTGCTTTTGTACTATTATTTTTTAAAAGAAGAATAGTTTTATTTAAACATAAAACTTTTCTTCTAGCGGTCCGCAAAACTGAACATTGTTTGTTATATATTACTATATTACATACTGCTTACTATGTATTTTTGCAAAGCATATTCACTGTAAATTATTGATTTTGTTGCTTTAGTAATTATTATATTTTTTAGAAAGATCAAACAGACTCTAATCAAGTACTAAAATGGGATTATGTTTTTGTAATTATCATCGGTTTATTTCCTGTTGGTATCTTTTTTAAATCAACCTTAATTCAAAGTTGTAATTCAGTACCAAATAATTATGCCATATTTAATACATCTTCAACAGTATATAACCAGTTGATTCTCAACAACAGTTTGAGATAATATCCTTTTAATTGTCCAAATCAAGGTATATAAAAATTGTTTTTAAATATTTCAAAATGATTTGCTTTTTTTTTTTAATTACTAAAAAAACAAATATTGATGGTTTTTTATTAAATATTTTGCTTAGGAAATCGTGAGCTTCATCTTCCGCCTTCGTATTCAGGTAGTTTACAGCTATTGCCATATCAATTTTTTTTTGTAAAACTTTTCGTTGTATGCACACTCACTGCGCCTATCCCTAAATTAGTGGATGTATGTACACTCACTGCGCCTATCCCTAAATCAGTCGATGTATGTCACTCACTGCGCCTATTCCTAAATCAGTCGATGTATGTACACCACGGCGATCTATACTGCAGGCCTTGCCAACGCAAAAAACGTATTTCATTGGGGGCCTATTTTAAGCTGTACTTAACTATAATCGCCATTTTAGTGATATTGAAATATGGGTAAAAAGTGTTGTATTTATGGCTGTACCACAAATTATTTATCGGCTAAAAAGAAATCTGATAATTTAAAGATCTCAGTATATCGATTTCCTAAAAATGAAGATGAAAAACAAATGTGGATTAAAGTAATTCCAAATGCAAATCTAAAGGTAACTAATGACACTGTAGTTTGTGAGTTGCATTGGCCAATAAATTTTGAAAAACAACAAGTTAGAGAAAAATTTCGTCCTAAATTTCCACCATCTGTTTGGCCAGGCATACCGTCTTGTCAAATTCCCACTCAACCTCCTCCATTACGTTCAACAAATAGCGCCTCTTCATGTATTCGAAATTTTGCTCAAGATGAATTATCAGCCTTTTTAGAAAAAGATAGAGTAACTTTTGCTGAAATGAAAGAAATTCTTTTATGTAATGAAAGAGATTTGGGTGTTCCATCAGTATGTTTTATGATTAATAGCATTATTCATTTGCAATCACAAGCTTATTCAAATGGGGTTCCATATTTTTTAATCAAGATTAGAGACGATTTACATTTTGAAACTTATCACTATGTAGTCAAAATTAAAATTCCTACAATTTCTAAAAACAGAGTTTCAAAAATTAATGCATGGTCAATATTAGAAGAAGTCCTACGTTATTTAAAGAGTTTGATTCCTGGAAGAAAAGAAATTGTAATTCAAAAACATTTAGCTTCTATGAGTACACAGTGTGTTGGAAATAAGATTTATTCTAAAGTTATTATTAGATCTTTTCAGTATTTTGCTACATCCAGAAGTTTGTATAATCAATTGCGAACAGATTACCAATTGTCTTCTGTAAGAACTTTGACAAGAATAACTTCAAAAGTTTCTAAATTAAACGAAAAACTTTTTTTCACTAATATTTTTCAATCTATTGAAGAAAAACAGAAAATTTGTTTGTTATTGCATGACAAGGTTTATGTTAAAAAAATGTTGTTATATCTTGGTGGTACATTGTTCGGAAAAGCAATGGATGATTCAACTTCTCTTGCAAAAACTGTATTGGGTTTAATGGTTAATTTTTTATTCGGTGGACCATCGTTCATTTCCAAAATGATACCTATAAGTAAATTAAACTCTCAATTTCTTTTCGAACAAATTAGCATTACTATTTAATCAATAAAGGAATCATCGGGTCAAGTCAAAGCCATAATATGTGATGGAAATAGAATTAATCAGGCTTTTTTTAAAATCTTCGAATTCACAGTTTCAAGTAAACCTTGGTTGACTAATAATGGTGTTTTCTTAATCTTTGATTATGTACATTTGCTTAAAAACATTAGAAATAATTGGCTTACTGAAAAAACTGGTCAACTTATATTTTATGATAAAGGGGTACAAAAAGTAGCACAATGGGATCACCTGAAAAAACTTTATGAACTTGAATCTAAAAACTTAGTTAAATTGTCTAATTTAAACGAAGTTTCAATATTTCCGAAGCCAATCGAGAGGCAGTCAGTGTCTACCTGTTTAAGGATATTTTGTGACAAAACTTACCATGCTTTGATTAATCATCCAGGACTGCAGCATATAAAAGAAAGACAAGACACAGCAGATTTTATTAACATTGTCGTATCATGGTGGAAAGTTCTTAATGTTAAAGGAACAGGTGCAGATGTTAGGTTTAATGATGAACTTCAAGCAGTTATTAGAGATCCTAATGATAATAGATTAGAAAATATTTTAGATTTCGGAAATATGGCTTTAAAGATGGCTGGAAAGCAAGGTAAAAGGAAGAAACAACTTACTTGTGACACTGCACAATCAAATTACCATACGTGCAATGGTGTTGTTGAATTATGTCGTTCATTATTGAATAGCTCACACCAATATGTTATTCTTAGTGAGTTTTCTACTGATCCATTGGAAAAAGAGTTTAGCAAATTGCGACAAGGTTCCGGAGGTACATATTTTATAACAGTACAACAGGTAATTGAAAAACTGAATATTTCAAGAGCCAAGCTTTTACTATCTCTTAATAACCCAGCTGTTCACATATGTCTTGATACAACCCATTCTTGTCCAAATTGTGGTTTTTTATTGGATGAGTCCTCTGCTGAGATATTTGACAACCTGCCAAATCTTGAATCTTTTATTTCTTCTGATACAAATATGGCACTTATATACATTCCAGGATATTTAACTCGTAAAGATAATGAACTATCAGAAAATGAGCTGCTAGAAAAAACAACTTTCTACCACCAAAAGTTTGGACAAACATAGACTCAATTGACCGTGGTGGACTTAATATTCCCACAGATAATACCTGTCAATGGGTAATTTTCGCTCTACACTACTACTGGATCTTTAGGAATATATATATATATGGTTTTTGTTTTTGGTTATATATATATATATATATTTTGTTTATGGTTATATATATATATATATATATATATATATATATATATATATATATAACCATATATATATATAACCATATATATATATATATATATATATATATATATATATATATATATATATATATATATATATATATATATATATATATATATATATATATATATATATATATATATATATATATATATATATGGTTTTTGTTTTTGAATTTGAGTTTTTTTGTTTTTGAATTTGAGAAAAATTTATAAGTTAAGAAATATTTTGTTTGAATTTTAGTTTGCTTGTTATAAAATGAACAGTTTGAGAGTAAAAGGTTCATTGAGTTAATATAAAATTACTGAACACTTTTTTGTTTTGTTTTTGCCGTTAAAATAAAATAGGCCCCCAGTCAACTAAGCTGTTTGCGCGATGGCAAGGCCTTCAGTATAGATCGCCGAGATGTACACACTGCGCCTATCCCTATATCAGTCGATGTTTGTATATAATATACAAAAATGTAACTTTCAATATACAACAATAATAACTTTCAATAAAAAAATTGTTAAAAAACATTTTAAAATATTATTCAGAAAGTAGGATTCAAACCCGGAACTGCGTGATTAATAAGCAATTAAGATACCACGACGCTAAACGCACATGTTTTTTTTACGAAATTCTTTTAAAATTTTTACAAATAAAACTTTCAATTATATTCGCAGCCCTGACTTTAAATAAACCAATCAAACTTTACTACCGTGACTATAAGATAAAAAATTAAAGCAACGGTACCGTTGCGCTAGACACAACGAAAACTTTTTCGCGTCAAGAAATTGTTTACAACCAATGAATATTTTTTTATTGTAAATATACGTTTTTAACTTATTATTATTTTAACGTTATTACTAATTTTTTTATCTTTTAAAAATTTTCTAATAATGTCTTAATATTGAAGTTCGTTGACTTTTTAAGACGCGTTAGTGGAATATAATAAAAATATTCAACATTAAGTTTTATCACTGTGAAAATAATTTAACGATTAAGCGCGTTATACCTAATAAATTATTTTACTAAAAACAAAAAAAGAGTATAAACCTTATATTTTAAATTTTTTTATTTGTTAATATACTCATGTGATTAATCAAACCACACGGCCAGGTTATGCACTATCTATTATCCAGTAAGGCAAAGGCTGCCTACTACATTTTGGCCCTGGGCCCCACTAATGTCAAATTTGGCCCAGCATAGTTATCGACTTAAATTTTACCTCTCTATATTCTAGTTAGCTAATGAACTACGACTTGTATCTATCGACATAAAAAGATCGTTGTTTTAAGAATATAAAGTTGTAAATCTAATATTCTCTTCAATCAGTGGCGGACTAAGCGGCTGAAAGGAGCCCTGAGCTAGTGAGTGGCTCAAAAGTCGTGGTAAAGTCTTCAACATTGTTAGATAATACTTGTATTTCCTTTTAAAAACGAAATTTATAAATTATGGAAAGAAACTGCAAACACTTTTTTTTTCTTGATTTTGTATCAAAAAGTAAAATCTATTTTGTTTCCTTTTACTATTTATGTTTATGTTCCCATTTATATTTTCTTTGTAGAGGCTTATCCGAGCCGCTAATATCTTGATTTAATAATTGAAGGTCAGCGATATTATTGGAATATAAAAAATACACAGAGTACACATTGCTGCTATTTTTAAATAAAAAATAGCAGCAATGTGTACTCTGAATAATTGATTAAAAAAATTAAACAGAATCTATACACTATCACTACAGCAAAAGGAAACATGTACTTTATTGGGGTAGGGAATTAAAACGTATCTAGAAAAAAACTATTAAGCAGTCCTGGTAGGGGGTTTAGGGGCCAGAAATAAAGCAGGTTTTCCAACAATAAAAGAACTTCAATTACTAACATGCACTGTTTTCGTTCCATGTGCTAATCATTCTCTAAATTTAGTTGATAACTCCGCAGCAGAAGAAAGTGGTTCTGCAACTCAATATTTTATACTTGTACAAAACTTATTTACATTTTTTTCATCTTCTATCAGTTGTTGGCAAAATTTGAATAATAGGTTTGAATTTAATAAACATTTCTTTACAGTTAAATAAATTTCAAATACAAGATGATCAGGAAAGGCAGATGCTGTATTGGCTGTTAAACTTGGTTACAATAACATAAAGGAAGATTTAAACAAAATTTGCAATTCGAATAAAAAAGTCAATGTATTAGAGACGAAGTCACTTCCGAAAATAAAATGGACAAGTATAAAATTGTTTTAATGACAGTAATATGGAATACAATTTTGACACGAATTAATGCTACAAATAATTCAATCAAATCACTTTAATCAAAAGAATGTGGTTAAAAGAAAGGATGCAAATTTAAAAGCCTTAATCAATAACTTCATGCTTTGAGAAATCTGAAAAAAGAAGCAACTGAATTATCAGATCTTTCATTCAATACGGAAGAGGCATGGATGCGTAGTCCCAAAAGGACTCCGGCTTTATATCTCTACTTTTTCCAAGTCTGTAGTGTCCAGAAGCTCTAAACATATTTGTTGACTTATGATCTGCAGTAAGTAAAAAATTCATGAGATTTAATGACTTGGAACTTATTGTTTTTAAGCCCGGAGTCCCGGAGTTCTTGCCGCCATTATACCTCTGGACTCCGGGTTCAAAAAATGATTGTTCCTCTAAATTAAAACTTCTATTTTTTTTCCTATTAGTAGTCCATAAACTTATTTATATTTTTAGAGCTCCTGGATAAAAAAAACTAGAATGAAGTAATCTTTTTGTGACTTTCAAGTCCAGAGTTCTTTTTGGGACTCCACATTCCTGAGAAGAGGACCACTAACGCAGTTAACAAAGGAGGAAACTTTTTTTTGAAGATTAAAATAAATATGTTATATATTGTTTTGTAAAAAAAAAAAAAAGTTGCATTACATAGTTTTGTTTTACATGTAGTGGAAACATGAAGAAAAATATTTTACAGCTTGGAATTTTTAAGTTAATCATTTTAAATAACTTTATAGCCAAATTGATTTTGGCGATTCCTTAATTTCTACCTATTAAGGCCTCCACTTGTCATGATCTGCCACTATCTTCAATATATTGCAAAAAAAACATTTATTAAAAGTGTGCTAGAAAGTTGCTTGCTCATTTTCCACTGGGAAAAATTATTAAATATTATTGTGAAAACTAATGCATAAAAATTATTAAAATATTTTTATCTATGAGACTTGGAGATCTGAAAACAAGTATTAGCATTGTATTACTATAAAGTAGTTAGTCGTTGGTATCTCATGGGTTAATGTTATGAAAAAGTCACAACTCTTTTATTTTGGCGTAATTATAATAAAATAAAATAAAACATTAGATTTAATTTACGATTTTATTAGAAAATAACTTAAACATTATTCGGTTTTGCAAACATGAAAAAAAAATAATTGGTCAAATTTAGCCGTTAATTAACGGCTAAATTTAACCAATTAAGGGCTGTCCATTAATTACGTCAACAATTTTTTGGCAATTTTCACCTCTCCCCCCCCCCTCCCCCTTGTCGACAAATTGTCAAACTTTCAGTGACCCCCCTATAAAATTACGTCAACATTCGATAACCCCCCCCCCCACACACACACACACACACACACACAAAATTAAGATGGAAAAAAAAATGTTTTAAATTGACTAGTTTACAACTGAAACAAAAAAGTGGTTTAATGTAAAATGTTTAGAAAAAAAAAATGTATTCAAATTTTACCTTATGAACATATTTTCAAACGATTATAATCATTTAAAATTACAAATGCTTGCTCTCAACAAAAAGTAAATTAAAGTAAAAAGTATAGAAAAAAATTTAAACTTTTAACTTATAAACATAATTTCAGTTTAAAGATACAAAAAATTACTCTTAAAAAAAAAAAGATTAGAGGGTTCACAAAAATGTTTACACGTTTAAATTATAATCATATTTCAAGTTAATAAAATTCTCCTCACTTTAACATTAGACCTAATACAAATTTACAGTGAAAGCCAATTATTTTTAATAGAGTCTAGAATAACAAAAAAGCATATAACAAATTGTATAAACTATGGGTTGGCAACCTTTTGAGACGGAAGAGCAGAAAGTTACATGATACAAAGTTTTTCAGTTTTTAAAGAGCTAATTTTAAAATTATGAATATTTTTTGAATTTGTTATTTAGGTGCCCCAAGACGACCTAACGGTCTTGTCACAGAGCACCATGGAAGTGCATTTAACCAGGAAGTTTACGCCTCTTTCCATACCGTGACGCGAAATAGATCTAAATCTCGTTTAGAACCTGGATCTCCTGCTTATAAAACAAGCACTCTAACCACTGCGCGACGGCCGTACAAATATTTAAGGATGCGGAGTCCCGAAAAACCTCCGGATTTGAATGTCACAAAAAGTTTACTTCTTTCTAGTTTTTGGTATCCAGTTGCTCTAATAATATAAAAACGCTTATGGAGTACTATTGGTAAAAAATTTAAGACTTTTAGGTTAGAGGAACAATCTCATTTTGACCCCGGAGTCTTTAGGTATAATGGCGGCTAGGACTCTTGGACTTTGGGCTTAAAAACAATATGTTTCAAGTCATTAAATTTCATGAGTTTTTTTATCAACCAACAAGTTCAAAGCTTTTGGACACCAGAGACCAGTAAAAAATAGAGATATAAAACCGGTGTCCTTTTAGGACTTCGCATCCCTGATTATACAAATATTTGTGCATGTCAAGATAATAATATTTCAATGTCAAGATGCAGCTAAAGAGCTTCATCTTGACATCAAAAGAATCACAAGAGGCTTGCGAGCTGCAGGTTGTACCCCTTGTATAAAAGTTTAAACAATATAATGTAGATATGAGTCTTTTTTGTTTGCACAGCAGACTGAGACAAACTTTGTAAAAATAATAGCGTTACAAGTAAACATCGTGTGTAATTATTTAGTTCTGTATGTCGGGTCTTTTTAAAG